ACTCCAACTTAAAAAAAAAAAAAAAGAAAAGAAAGAAAATCAACCTGGGCGACAGAGTAAGACTCTAACCCAGAGGGGGGGAAATTATGAAGTCTAATGTATCAATTTTTTCCTTTTTGTCGCTTGTCTCTGCTGCTGTATTTGAGTTATCTGCCTAACCCAAGGTCATAAAGATTATCTGTCATGGTTTCTTCTATAAGTTTTATAATCTTAGCTCTTATATTTAGATGTATGATCTATTTTGAGTTACAGTTTTATGCATCATGTGAGCTAAATTCATCTTTTGACATGTGAGTATTCAATTGTCACAACACCAATGATTGAAAAGACTATCCGTTTCCCCATCAATTGTCTTGGCACCTTTGTCAAAAATCAATTGACCAGAAATATAAGGGTTTATATTTGGACTCTGGATTCTGTTCCATTGAACTATAAATCTATTTTTTGGTTGTTGTTTTTATTTAAAAATTTCAGATCCACAGCACAATTCATCCTTGAGTGTACCTTTCCATGAGTCCTGGCAGTTACAACCAGGATACAGAATGCCCCTCTTACCTCCCAAAAATCCCTGTGCCCCCTCCTGTCAACTCCTCTCCAACCCCAGACTTGCTTTTTGTCCATACAATTCCACCCCCTCCAGAAAGCCATGTAAGTGGATTCCATCAGCAGTCAGCCCTCAGAGTCTGGCTTCCCTTTCCATCCTGTCCTTCAACGTCCAGAGTTATCTTTCCAAAATGTAAACTTGCCCACTCCTCTGTGCTTCTACCTAAGTCTAAACAGAACCTGCAAGATCTGGCCTCTGCCCACTACTCCTGCCAGTCTGGACAAACAGGATGGATGGCTCTCAAATCTGGTTTGCAGATGGTTTGTCAATATCACACATTCCTGGTTCTCAGCCCCAGAGACTGAGATTTCTTATCTGGGGAAAAGCCTAAGGTTGTCTTTGCTGTTGTTGTTTTGTGTTGGAGTCTCACTGTTACTCCAGCTGGAGTGCAGTGGCATGCTCACAGCCACTGCAGCCTCAACTTGCTGGGCTCGGGTGGTCCTTTGGGCTCAGTCTTCCAAATGACTGGAACTACAGGCATGCGCCACCATGCCCGGCTAACTTTTTGATTTATTGTAGAGATGAAGTCTCACCAAGTTGCCCAGGCTGGTTTTGAACCCGTGGTCTCAGACAATCCTCTCACCTCGGCCTTCCAAAGTGCTGGGATTATAGGCGTCAGCCACCTCACCTGGCCTCAAGATTGTCTTTTTATAGGAGCCTGGGGAGATTTGGAGGCAGGTAATCACAGGCCACATTTCCAGAAGCACAGGGACTATCTCCACTCCTTCCACACAGGTTGCCTGTGCGGCCTGTTCTCCCTCCACTTTCCCCACCCCACCCCTTGTCTCTGAGTGCTATGTCACCTCCTGCCAAGGGCTTGGCACTTGTTCCCTCAAAGGTGAGCCCCCGTGTTCCCATTCACCCATTCCAACCTCCCCCTGCCTCTGCTCACTTGTCATTTCCACAGTGAAGTCTTCCTTAACTCCCCGAATGAGTCATTGTCCCGGCATAGTTGTCATCCATCATGTCTTATTTGTGTGATTCTTGATGAATATTAGTCTCCTTGACTGGCTGCGGGAGAATGGGGTAGGGTCTGTTTTGTGCTCATGGCTGTATCCCCAACACCCACCTCTGCACCCACCATGGGGTTGGCATGTGGTAGGTACTTAATACATAGTTATATAAATGAGTGAGTGAATTGCCTCTTCTGTCTTTACACAAGCTGCTCTGTGACCCAGGTGACCTTGCCCCCTCCCCAACCCCTCTGCTTGGCCCACTCTTACTCGTTTTTCTAGGAAAACTTGGTTTGGAGAAAGTTGAGGCTGGAGTCACTCCTCTGTGCTTCCCTGGGCAGACCTCCTGTCACCCTGTGGATTGTTTGTTTTCCCAACAGTCACCCACTTCAAGCTGGGAGGTGGCCGCAGCCTTTGTTCTCGGCCTCCCAGCCCCTCTCTCCAGGCCCATTTGCCCAGTGCTGAACAAAAGCACTAAAGTTATCTCTCTGAGGGGAGTCCCCTGGTGCCCAGGCCAGAGCATTCTGCAGTTGACCATGGTTTTCCCCATCATGTGACCCTGCGTAACCCCTTGGATTTTATTTTATTTAATTAATTAATTAATTAATTTTTTTGAGTCGAAGTCTCACTCTGTCGCCCAGACAGGAGTGCAGTGGCCGCTCCCGGCCACCGCAGCCTCGACCTGCTGGGCTCCAGGGATCCTTCCGCCTCAGCCTTCCAAGTAGCTGGAATTATAGGCATGCACTACCACGCCTGGCTGTTTTTTGTTTTTTGGTTTTTTTTATTGTAGAGATGAGGTCTCGCTGCCCAGGTGGGATTCGAACCCGCAGGCTCAGGCAATCCACTCACCTCAGCCTCCCAAAGGCGCGGGATTACAGGCTGAGCCACCAAGGCCGGCTTGGATTTTATTTTTATTTATTTATTTACTTTTCTGAGTTGGAGTGTCACTCTGTCGCCCAGACTGGAGTGCAGTGGCTGCTCCCGGCCACCGCAGCCTCGACCTGCTGGACTCCGGTGATTCTTCCGCCTCAGCCTTCCAAGTAGCTGGAACTACAGGCACACGCTACCACGCCCAGCTAATTTTTGATTTATTGTAGAGATGAGAGCTCGCCAAGTTGCCTAGGCGGGTCTCGAACCCACGGGCTCAGGTAATCCACTCACCTCAGCCTCCCAAAGGCATGGGACTGCAGGCTGAGCCACTGAGCCCGGCTAACCCCTTGGATTTTAAAAGGGGAAGCTGAGACCTTGTGAGTTGCTCAGAAGGGAGGACATACCCTGGGTGCCCTCAGGGGGCCAGGGTGCAGCTTGGTGGCTAGATTGTGGCTGGAGGTCAAGGGGCAGGCCATGTCGCGGGACACCCTTCTGGTTGGCTTCCCTCTCCCGAAGGGTGTTCTTTGCCCCGGGGGGTGGGACCCAGAGCTGCAGACGGACTCCCTAACTTGGCCAATGTACAGACCAAGTTCGGGCAGGGGTGTGTGTGGAGAGAGCTGGGGGGGGCGTTTCCCCTTCCCTTCCAGCCCCCAGCCCCTCCCTCCCAGGTAATCTGGACTCTTTGATCTGCGCTCTCGATGCCATTCTGTTCCGCAGTCTTTCCAGCCTCTCCCCAGGCACCTGCATCCTCCCCTGGCACCTGCCGCCAGGCAAGGAAGGGCAAAAACAATCCCAGTGGGCGTCGAGTGTCAGGGAGTCTCCTCCCCCTTCTCCCGAGTTTCCTCCTCCCAGGCGCCTCCCCGGGTCCCGCCCCCATCTGCCCAAGATAATTTTAGTTTCCTTGGGCCTGGAATCTGGACACACTGGGCACCCCCCCGCCCCCGACGTCTACGTCTAAAGTCGAGGCATCCTCCTGCCACCTGTAGAGAAGCGGGAGCGGATTTGAAATAAAATCCAGGTGTCTGGGGTCCCTAGACAGAGCCAGACTTTGGGCCCGGTGTCCTGCTGCTCCCGCAGGGGCTCCTCCAGGTAAGGCGACCGAGATCGGTATCGGACGACAACCTGCACCTACCCCACCCCCCACCAGCC